TTTTTTTTTTTTTTTTTTTTTTTTTTTTTTTTTTTTTTTTTTTTCCCCTTTGGAACCATGCATGTACCTAGTCTTTGGACCTGCTATGTGGATTGTGGAATGCACGAGTTGACAGGTGGGCAAGACGAGAGAAACTTAAGTGGGGTGGTCGCACCACGAATTGACAGGTGGACAAGATGAGAAAAACTTCAGTGGGGCGGTCAACCACCGAGGTGGCGCTTTGGTATTGGGCAGGTGCACCACGTGGATGGTGTGCCCGCCCCCACGTGGTGCACCCACCCCTGAAGATTTAGTCGGGCAAGACAGATTTGGGTCCACACCACTCAAATTATTCTATTGGAAGTTACCTTAAAACATGTTTTCTCCATTTTAATCTAACTCGTAAATCATGAAATGGTACAGACATACTCCAATCTTGACTGCGGTCGGAAAATTCACCTGATTGTTGTCATGACAGTGAGTTAATTATTTGTTAAAGCTAGGAGGCAATATCGTAACTTGTACACAGACACTCAAAGAAAGATGCATAGTGATTAACGTGTTGAGTTGGTGAACAAAATAAATACTCTCACTGTGACCCCACCCTGTTGCTGTAGATATGCATTCCAGAAGCACGTTCATGTTTAATTTTCCCCCTGCCATATTTAATTTCTCTTAAAATAATTATACAATCTTTACCTTTAAAGCTTCCTTCAATATGTTTGCCTCTTGGAAGAAAGATGGAAGAAGAAGAAGCACAATCTTTACCTTTAAAGCTTCCTTCAATATGTTTGCCTCTTGGAAGAAAGATGGAAGAAGAAGAAGCACAATCTTTACCTTTAAAGCTTCCTTCAATATGTTTGCCTCTTGGAAGAAAGATGGAAGAAGAAGAAGCACAATCTTTACCTTTAAAGCTTCCTCCAATACATTGCTTTAAATATTGACATTATGCGTTTGATAATATGTTGTGGTGGTTATCACATGAATGGGGAGACGACGAGTGCCTCAACATTCTAAAGAAGTGCAAAGAAGAAATTCCACAAGACACGGGAAGAGTGATCATTGCAGAGGCTGTGATCGATGAAAAAGAAGGGGATAATCGAGGCTTATCCTCATCTAAATATTTGGCCGTTTTATGCTGTAATATGAATAAATCATTGATCTCCGTTACTTGGCGTAAAATCCTGTTATAGTATTCAGTCATTGAAGATGCGAGTGTTTCCGGGGCCAAATTCATAAAAGCATTGCTTGTGAAGTGTGTAATCATGTTTGTAGTTGAAAATTGATACTCAAAATAAACAATTGTAATGGCTTTTTTCATCCCTTCACGTTCTACCAAGGATAGTTGCTATACGTATCATTCCAAGTTCTAACCCAAGACGACCATTTTTTTTTTTTTTTTTTTTTACTGATACTGAAGTAATCGAACAAAAATTTGCACCAGATTGTTTTAGGTTATCAATTTATAAATATGAATCTTTAGGGTTTATATTACCGCTGAGGACCACCACCTTCGATGACTAGTATTGTCATTCCCACCATTACGACGATAATCTGTGACCTTCGTCGTGCATATCTACACGACACTATGGATATCATGTAGATCTGTGCAATGTGTGGCCTCTATCGTGCATATTTGTGCAAGGCCGATAGCGTTGCACAATGTCCTTAATATATCAACCATATTTTGAATGATATGTCTCAAAAAGTGATCAACAATATATGTGATACTCAGATGGTGTCTAAGAAATCGTATCTTAAATTAAATGGCAAATAAGTCTTTGCTCTTGCATGAAAATGATTTTTTGAGAAGTAATTTTATGAAAATATATATTTTTTAGAAAATATATGGTAAAAAAGAAGAGAAAAATTATTTCTAAATCAAATGATATAGCTCATAAAATTCTCATTATTTTATTTCGAATTAATCCTAGTTGGGGGTCTTGGTCTCAAATATTTCAAATAACTCAAGTCTAGTAAGAGCAAATACCCCTATTTGCTTTAGCTAAAAGAGTTGACAAAAACAGAAGTCAAAGTCAATTATTAATTTTAACTACATATCTAATGATATCCACAACTTTTTTTAAACTTTATAGCCATACATTTTATCAACTTTTATTAAAATTTACTAAAATTCTAATTGAAAAAAAAAAAAAGAACCGAAGGGGAGCTTAGTATTATCACAACAATTGTCGTGTATATCAACATCCACAATTTGCAAAATCCAGGAGTCAGGTTGAATTTTTAACCTTAAATATGTGCTAAACTATTACATCGCAACACGCTTCAAGTAAAATAAAGAACAAGTCATTAGAAAATAGATTTCAACTTAAAAGTGTATGAATTATATGAATATCCATGCATGAACTTCGATGACTATTGTTGTACCTCTTTTAGCAATGCTCAAAAAACTCCTATGTGGCATTTACACGACAAAAGAACCTGGGTTTGCACTCTACAACATTCAATCCAAGAGGTAATTTAGCCAAACCCCATGAAGAAAGCGAACCTCTATGGAGAGCCAAACCCATTTGTTGGATTCGACCCCGTGGGGATAACTGAACCCTCATAGACGGGGTGAGGTTGAAAGAGTCTCAACAAGAAATCTTTCACGCAATGTCAAAAGTTTTATGTAAGATATTTGGGCAACAAAATGTTATTAGCATTAAATGCCTATGATTGATTGATACTTTTGACAAGAGACATCAGCCACATATACTTTCATCCCGTGGTCATTATCCATCACCTTCTACTATAAAAGCTTACACAATATGTCATTCCAAAATAATGTAAGTTTAGCCTTTCAAAATATAATTTTTTTCCCCTTATTATTACTATTTTTTCAAAGTTGAACCACTTTTTATATAAGAGGCTAGCATCTAAACCGCCTCCCTCGCTCAAATACATACAATTTCAATAGGCTTGATCAACGAAGAGCGTGCAGCCAACTACACCACGATCGGATAAAGTTATGTGTGGTAAGCAATTTGTCCTAATGTGCAAGGATCAAAGTTACATGTACACGAAAGACCTTGAATTCTGTTGGCCATGTTGGAGTTATAAAAATTGAGGTCAACAAAATACACTATCAATTGCGTGAGAACCATGATAAAAAAATGCCATAATCGTGTTTTCATAGCCATTGGGCATGGCCGGTCCCGAGAGGAGGCAAATGAGGCCCTTGCCTCAGGCCCAAGACCATAAAGGGCCTCATTTTAGGCCATATTCTTTTTTCTTTTCTTTTCTTTTTTCATTTTTTTTTATCAAAACAAGGCAAAACAGGCCAAATCCAATGGTGTGGGATTTGACGTAAATTTATTGAAGACAAGATCTAAAATTGTTAAATTTGGGGTTTATTTTCTTGAAATTGGTGTGAGATTTGATGAATTTTATAAATGGGTGTCTATAAATATTCATGTCATTGTTTTTTTTTTTTTGTACAAAATATTTGTGAAGATAGATATTTATGCGATTGTATTTGTTAAATCCATGTCGTTGTCTTATTTTTGTACAAAAACTTTGCGAAGATATTACTATATTTCACAATTCTTTCATTC